ACAGAAGCATTTGGTGGTCCATGCTTCCCTTTGGGAAGCCAGCCACGCTGCTCCCGGTGCGAATATGCCCGCTGTAGTTTATTTCATGCTATACACAGGACACCCCCACCCCCGAGGGGTAGAATGCACGGCACACAGTCGGTCCTTATAATCCAAGAGCAGCTGACTTCAGTGCCCCTTGATTGAAACCATCCTGGCTGGACAGCAGCCGAAATGAGAGACAACTCCCAGCAGAACTGTGGGGTGCCGGGAGCCCACCTCCCTCTGGGCCACACAGTTTCTGTTATGTTCAGCCAAATGTACTCCACACATCATATAAGAGAGACCCAGGGCTGCCCGGCCCCCGCCCAGGCTGGCAGAGGAGAGAAGCTGTGGGCTCAGCCGCCTCTGGAATTTGTCCCCGAGAGGGAGGGATCTGACTCTGCATTGGCTTTCCACAAACCACTCCAGGGGCAGAAAAAGACAGGAGAATTTTTAGCCCAGTTATATAAAGGGTTTCTCAGCCGCCGGCACAGACTGGAGCTGTGGATTTGAGGGCTTGAGTGGTCGTCGTGTGTGTGTGTGTGTGTGTGTGTGTGTGTGTGTGTGTGTGTGTGTGTGTGTGTGTGTCCATGTCACAGAAGCAGCATCTGCCTCCACAGGCTGTATGGACTCAGGTCCTCTGTCCTCCAGGGTACGTTTTCCCTCCCAGATGGCTGCAGGCCACCACTTAATTAATAGATTAAATGTCATTTAATTGGCTGTTTCATCACTCACTACACACTTGAGGCCATTAGAGTCATGACCTTAGATGTGTGGTTAACTCTCCCTCCTGCCCTGACTAGACCAGATCTTTGTGCCCTCCATTTCCCCAATGTTCAGGCTACTTTCTTGGTGGAACTTACTGGAGAGACACCAACTTGCCCATGGAAACTACTGGAAAATCTGGCTTGGGAGAGGTAGATTTCAGAAAAAGTTGTGAACAAGGTGCCTTATGGGGAACTGTGGCCTCTGCTTCTGTAAGGGGACGGGGGCTTGGTGGGTACTGCCCATGAACAAGTCATCCCAACCTCGGCCTCTGGCACCTGAGTGCTCTGCCCTGTGGCACCGGCGTTTTCCTTGACATGAGGGCAGGTGTGTGAGTGACAGAGGTGGAGATAGCCCTGCTTCCTACTGACTGGGACCAACGTCAGCTTTTCAGTTAACACATGTGCATCCTGCTCCCCAGACAAGAAAGGAGACTGGATTCTGAGCAGGAAAAAATAATTTCCCACTGAAACAAACCCAGAAAACCAGCCCTGAGCCAGGCGTTGGTGGCGCAGGCCTTTAATCCCAGCACTCAGGAGGTAAAGGCAGGTGAATCTCTGTGAGTTCAAGGCCAGTCTGGTCTACAGAGCGAGTTCCAGGACAGGTTCCAAAGCTGCAGAGAAACCCTGTCTCGAAAAACCAAACACACACACACACACACACACACACACACACACACACACACACAAACCATCCATGTCTCAACATGGTGTTATCATTTTGACAGTGTCGTCTCAGTTTAATCTTGATGGTGAACTTCTGAGAGCTGTTACTGGCATCAACCTGTTTTGTAGATTGGAGAAGGATTCTGTGTCTTTGTCACTTCCAAGCTTTTGGGGTATGGTGACATTAGGACAATGTTGTGACTGTTGGGCATTGCAAGCCAGGCTTCTGTAGGGGTCATTGAACTTTGGACCGACTACTGGGCCCAGCAGAGGTGGCCTGCCCAGTACCAACCATTGTGGGCTGCTTGGCATGGGTCCCAGAACAAGAGGGGACCGTTATGGAGACAGTGGCAGCCACAGCATGCCAGTTTCTCACCAGAAGCAAGGGTGTGTCAGGAATATGAGTTTCCTGTTGCCTCAGGGTGTGGCAATGTTGTTACTATTCTGGCTGCCACCCACAGTTGAGGTGGTAGGGCCTATCATGGTAAACTGGGGGCCACTGTGCTGAGTTCTGAGACCCACAACTGGGCATGCTCACAGAGCCTCCTGTTGGTAGCAAAAGTCTCCTCCACCAGACTGGCCCCTGAACCCGAGGCTGTCTCCCCTTCCATTAGAGGTTCCTAAGGGCTGACTGAGGCTTCCTCCCACGTATCCAGAGCTCCTGTGTACAAGCCTCTCTCCCTCTAGGTGCTGAGGATTCTGAGGAGCTGCCTCCTCCCTCAGATTAGACTGTACTGACAACCACCAGGAGCATTCTAGGATCAGATTTGAAGGGTGGGGCCAGCAGAACTGGGAGGAACCGGTTTATCCTGAAGGAGACCCTGAGAGGAGTTAGGACTTGCTGAGGTAATCCTCCAAGGGGGCCATGCCCCAGACAGCCTCCCAGTCAGGACTGGGGTGAAGGGGTGAGGTTTGGCCTCAGGAATGCAGTGCTCAGAGCCAGCTGAGGGGCAGCCCTGCTGGCCCAGGCCCAGTCCTAGCGTGTGGCCGCCAGCTCCACCCCTTGGAGGATCCTACAGTGTTCTGCCTGGATGCTTTGAGTCCTTGGCCCTGCTCCTGGTCATTGTCTCATCCTACAGAGGCTGACAGATGTGCACAGCTGGGCGGAGGCTCTCACTGAAATCCAGCTGGCTTACCACAAGCCTGAGCCCCAGAGCTGGCCTCCGGGTTCTCCACTTAGCCTTACTGGGTGTCTCTAGGCCCAGGGCTATCACCCCCAAATAACAGACACAGAGGCTTATTAGTATTACTTATAAATGCTTGGCCAATAGCTTAGGCTTGTTCCTAGCTATCTCTTTACATTTAAATTAACCCGTATTTCCTACCTATGCTCCCACGTGCTCGGTACCTTTCCTCAGCGCCGCATGCCCATCTTGCTTCTCTCTCGTCTGCTGCCGACTCCTCCCTCATCCCATCATTCTCCGTTTGGCTTTCCCGCCTAACTTTATCCTGTTCAGTTATTGGCCAGTTGGCTTGTTTATTAAACCAATCACAGTGACAAATCTTCACAGTGTACAGAAGGATTATTCCACAGCATATTTCTGTGTTGTATGTGTTTATATGTGTACATGTGTGTGTGTTTATATGTGTACACGCCACATGTGTGTGGTGCCTACAGAGGCCAGAAGAGGGTACCAGACTCCCTGAAGCAGGGGTCAAAGGGAGTGTGAGGGCCCTGGCTTTGATGCTGGGAATTGAACTGGGGTCCTCAGAAGCAGACACTCTTAACCACTGAGCCGTCACTCTGTCTCCACCCCCAACAGTCTCATTTGTTTTATATTTTAGCTCCCCCCCCCCCAAGACAGGGTTTCTCTATGTAACAACCCTGCCTGCCCTGGAACTCTGCAGAGCAGGCTGGCCTTGAACTCACAGAAATGCACCTGCCTCTGCCTCCCGAGTGCTGGGATTAAAGGTGTGTGCCACCACCGCCCGGCCTTATTTTATTTTTTAGGTTTGTTTATTTTATGTGTGTGAGTGTTTTTTCTGCGTGTGTGTCTGCATACCATGTGTGTGCCTGGTGCATGCAGGAGCAGGCTAGAGGATCCCCTGGAACTGGAGCCACAGACAGTTGTGAGCGCCATGTGGGTGCTGGGAACCGAACCCAGGTCCTCGGCAAGAGAAAGTGCTCTTAGCGGCTGCACTGTCTCTGCAGCCGCACCAGTCTCTTAGAGGCTGAGCTTGCAAAGCCTGCTCAGGGCCTGGCTAGGAAAATGGGCTTCGGGCTGGAGAGATGGCTCAGAGGTTAAGAGCACTGACTGCTCTTCCAGAGGACCTGAGTTCAAACCCCAGCAACCACATGGTGGCTCACAACCATCTACAATTCAATCTGGTGTATATGTAATAAATAAATAAATAAAAGAAAAAAGAAAATGGGCTCCAGTTCCCTCTCATTTGTGTCTCCCCCGGCTCATCTGGTCTTTAAGCAAGTGCAGATTTCTAGACTCTTCCATCTCTCCTCCTCGAGCCTTCTTGCAAGGCAGGGTTGCTGGCAAAATATTCCCCCGATTTTTATCTTTTGCAGAAGTCCTTGCTTCTTCACTCTGTGTGTATGCCTGTATGATATGTGTGTGTGGCGCCCTTGTGTTTGTGTGTGTGAGTGTAGCCACACACCTGAAGGGATGAGTGTGGAGGTCAGAGGTCAACCGAGAATGTCAGTCTTGTCCTGACCTTGTTTAAGACAGGGTTTCTTTTTGTCCTTTGCCACCGTGTGTGCCAGGCTGACTGACTTGTGAGGCCTGATGGATTCTCCTGTCTCCACCTGCTGCCTCACCACAGGGCTGCTGGGATTACAGAGGGGTGTGTGTGTGTGTGTGTGTGTGTGTGTGTGTGTGTGTGTGTGTGAGCGTGTGTGTGTGTGCGCGTGCGTGTGTGTGTGTGTGTGTGTGTGTGTGTGTGTGTGTGTGTGGCTGGCTTTGCATGGGTTCTGAGGATTCAAACTTTGGTCCTGGCATTTGTGCAGCAAACAGTTTGCCCACCTCATGTCCTCAGCCCCTCCCTTCACTTTTAAGGGCAGTTTCGTGGGGTGCAGACGCGTAGGGAGGTGGCGCCTTTGTGCACTTTAAATATTCCATGGCGTGCTCTTCCTGCTTGTGCGGTTTTGAGAAGTCAGATGCCATGACCTCTGCCCCTTTTCCTTCGGCTTCCTTTGGGTCGGTGCTCTTCATCTTTGGTTTCCCGTAGTTTGAAATCAGTATGCACAGTGTGGCTGGCTTTGCTCTTTTGACCCTGCTTGCCTTTCTCTCAGCTTTTCTCCGTGGTTTGGTGTCTCACGTTACTGTAGGGGAGATACACAGTGATAACTCCATGAGTGGTTTCTGGTCCCTCCCCTTGATCGTTTCCTCCTGGTACCCCATTCATATGTGTGTGACGCCTTCTGTAGTCACCCACCACAGACACTAAGAACCCCGCATTGTCCTACGCCTCAGCCACTCTCTACAGCAGCCAACCACTCCCCCTTCTTCCTGGTTGGTGAGCGCTCATCTCTCCCGGGCTCCACGGAACTGCAATCATACACTCTGTGGTGCCTCTCTCACTTAACGTGGAGCCTCCCAGGCTCAGAGTGTAGATGCCTCGTCCCTCCCCTCCCACAATGCACCAGCTGGGGGAGAACTCAGAACAGGGCCTCAAGCGGGGCACTGAGTCCTCTCTTTGGTTTTGCCCCACCCCCTGCCAGGACCCCAGCTGTGACAAGGGTCAGCACGCTGGCTCAGTGTGTGTATTCTCGGGGTACTGTGCAACCCTGGCCCCTACAGTTTCTCAATACGTGTTACTGCTTAGCCACTTCCCCCTCCGGACTCCTGCTTGCAGTTACCAGACTCCTGCTGTTGTCCTTTGCTTCCCGGGTGAGGGTGACCGGAGTCCTCCTGGGTGAGTGTCAGAAGGCTGCATGAACTCAGCTCCTTCTGTGGCCCCTGCCCTGGGCTGTCCTGCCATCCCTTCCACCATAAAACTTCTCTGTTCTCTTCTCTCTTCTCAGGCTGCCCGGGGGATGGGACAGTCTGCCATAGCAGCCAATGTTCCCAGACGGGAGATTTCTTTTTTACAAGAAAAAGCCTCTGTTTATATTTATTTACTTTATTTCATGTGTGTGACTGTTTTGCTTGCATGCATGTCTGTGTACCATGTGTGTGCCTGGTGCCCTTGGATGTCAAAAGAGGTCACTGAATCTGGAGTTATGAATGGTTGTGAGCTGGGACTCAGACCTGGGTCCTCTGCAACAAGAGCTCGTAACTGCGACACCATCTCTCCAGCTCCTCGTGTGTTTTTCTTGATGCCCGTTCCCTGGGATTGCCTGGAGGAAACCTTAAGTTTCACCCCCCCCACATCTTGCTCCAATCCTCTGAAAGTGGAGGGGTGAGGGACTCACTCTCCCCCCTCAGTGAACTCTAGGATGCGTATCTGGCCTCAGCTATTTGAGCTCCCCACCGACTCAATTTGGCGGCTTAGTAATGTTCTTGTGTTGGCCATGGAACTTGGCCTAGATTCCTAATTCATATGGGTGCATGCGTGTTTGCACAGTATATTTGTGTGTGTGTTGTGAAGGGTGCATGTAGTGTGTGTACATGTGTGCGCATGTCTATTTGAGTATTTGCATGTGTATGTGTGTACATTATGTATGTACATGTGTATGTGTACTTCTGTGTGTATGTGTATATATATGTATGTGCATATGTGTGTGTATTTGTGTGTGTGAATATGTGTGTGTGTTTGTGCCAGGTGAAGGAATCACTAGATTGTCTGTGGCTGGGAGGAGAGAACCTGTGAGTGTCACGGTCACACTCCAGGCCTGAGCATCAGGGAAGCCGGAACACACAGTTCTCAACCAGATTCAGATCCAAAGCTCTATGCTCTTCCTGGCTGAGACCCAGTCCTGGCCTGCACTGACCTTTGGCCTCAGCTCCAACTTTGGCCCTACTCCTAGTCCTGTACTGAACCCTGGTCCTGACTCCAGGCTGAACCCTTCAGTGTACTCCATGTTCTCCACCTGACCCCAACTGAACAGGAAATCAACACTTGACCTTAAACCTGACCCAGTGGAAGCCCAGGATCCATCCAAATGGTAGGATTTGTGCTGGTTTTGTGTGTGTGTGTGTGTGTGTGTGTGTGTGTGTGTGTGTGTGTATGCATGTTTGTATATATGTAGTGTATGTATATGGTGTGTGTATGTATGTGGTGTGTGTGGTATGTGGGTATAGTATATGTATGTGTTTATGTATGTGGAGTGTGTGTATGCGTGCATGTGCCTGCTAAACCACACACATGAAGGAGAGTTCTTTCTTCCCCATCCCTGGGGCAGAGTCTCTCGTTTCTGTGTTGTGTGCTCCAGGCTAGTTGGCCTGTGAGCTTCCATTTGATCTTCCCATTTCTGCTTCCCATGTTGTTGTAGGAGTGCTGGGATTACAGATGTGCACCAGTGTTTCTGGATTTTTGCATGGGTTCTGGAGATCAAACTCAGGTCACGGGACTTGCACAACAAGTGTTTTTACCCCCTGAGCCATCTTCCAAGCTTGCATCTCTGCCTTCCTTCCTTCCTTTCTTTTTCTCTAATTTTCTTTTCTTTCTCTTCCTCCTCCTTTCTCCTCTTCCCTTGTTCCCTTTTTATGGTCCTAGAGATTGTGCCCAGGGCCTTGTCTGTGCTAAGCGAGTGTCTCCCACTGAGCTACCTCACCAGCCCTGTGTCTTCATCTTAAACGGATCCCCCTGCCATCCTCTTGAGACTGCCATGCGCTTCTTGGCCTTTGGTCTTCTGATGCATGTGTTTCTCTTCTCGTCTACCTCTGCATCCTCACGATGAAGCATCCCTTCCTCCAGGGAGGTTTCCCTAGTTCCTCGTTGTGGATGCATGACTCAACATTCCCGTCCCCCTTCCATAAAGGGACTTGGTTTTCCAGGTCTGGGGCTGTTGGTAGGTGGCCTGTCCAGGGTTTCCTGTGTCTAATGAGTCATCAGTGAATTCTGGGGTGGGAATGGAAGACTCACCCACTCCCAAGTAACCCAGGGCAACTCTGGAGGACCACCTTGGCTCTTCAGTATCCCTAGTCTGCTGAAACTGGCGCTGGACCTGTACAGCAGCTCACCTTGGCTCCCACATGGTACCCACCTTCTGCTGCCCCGGAGATTGAGAGGAGGGGTCCCACATCTGACCCCCACTTCAAATTCTGTCTTGTGTAGCTGGAGCTCATTGGGGACATCAAAGCAGAGGCTTCCCTAGGCACCATCCTTGGCACAGAGGCAGAGCCCCAGGGTGTCCATGGTCACTCTTCTCAGCACAAGTCCTCAGCATGACCACAGCTTCAACAGAGAGTGAGGAGCCAGATACACCCTGATCTCTGGGACAAGGCCCTGCCGTGTGCCGTTGGCTGAGGATGAAAAGGGAACATTTGACACTCTAAAGAGCCAGAGATCCAGCCGGGCGTTGGTGGCACACACCTTTAATCCCAGCACTCGGGAGGCAGAGGCAGGCTGATCTCTATGAGTTCGAGACCAGCCTGGACTACCAAGCGAGTTCCAGGACAGCCTCCAAAGCCACAGAGAAATCCTGTCTCGAAAAACCAAAAAAAAAAAAAAAAAAAAAAAAAAAAAAAAAAGAGCCAGAGATCCCTCAAGGGCTGGGAGTGAGGAACACTGGGTGGGATGCTGGTCCATTGCTGTGACTCATTTTATGTCACCTGACTAGGCTAAGAGGACCCAGATAGCCAGTGAACCCATTATTACAGGGTGTGTGTCTGTGACATTATGTCCAGATGAGATGAACATTTGGATTTGCAGGTGGGTCACCATCATGTGGGTGGCCACTGTCCATCTTCAAGACCCCAAAAGAGCGGACAGGCACAGAGGATAAAATCTTTGTTGTGCTGGGACATCCATCTCCTGTCTTCTAACAACAGAGCCCACGGTACTGCAGCCTTTGGGTTGGGACTGGTTGACCCCGGGAGTGGCACCTGGTCACCTGGCCACCTGCTGTCTAGATTGGAGATGCCGACGGCAGGGCTTCTCTGCTTCCATAACTGCGTGTGTAGGCGGAGTCCCATGGGTTACCATCCTCTGTGATTGTCTCTCTCTTCCAACCTCTCCAGAGAATGTGGGTTCCCTGTGGAGGCCAGAGCTGTGTACTGTGAACCCCGAGTCAGCCTCTTCTGGACCCACCTCTCACCAAAGCTACTCATGCCAAGACTGGAACCTGCCACGTTCCCTGCACACCCATCGCTGTGGACAAAGGCATGACCAGGTCAAGAGGCCAGAACAGAAGAGCAGTTTCCAGAGTTGGCGCTTTGTGCAAGGCAGGATGACCAGGGAGGAACACTCCCAGAAGTTTTTCCGTAGGAAAGGCGAAACCCCTCAGCAGTCTATTAATAGATCCAGTGGACAGCCAGTAGCCAAGGTGAATATTGGTGTTAACAGGAAGTGCTGGGGACAGGCTCTGATGGGCTCAGACACTGGGTCCAGACAGAGACAGGCTGCTTCTGTTGTCTCGGGGCACATTCTCAGCCTGGATCCTGAGCCCCAGACACTGCTGCTGCCTGAGGGGCTACCCGGTCCAGCTCCTGGGTTCTTCGTGTCCCTTAAACCTATCAAGCCTGTTGGCATCTCGGGCTCACCCCGACTGTGGCTGTCCTTCCTTCCCTCTCTTCCTTCTGGTCTCTGGACAAATGCCACTCCTCAGAGAACTTTTCTGATCTGACCTAAAATATCCCTACCACAACTTTAAAAAAAATCCCCTCCCACGTGCCCTCGAACTCTTGACCCTCTTGCCTTAGCCCAGAGAGGTGGATTACAGAGGACCTCCACATCCAGCCAAAATACTGTGAACTGCTTGCCTAGTTTTTTCATTATACACACAGATTTATTTTCATTTCATTTATTCAGTCCAACTCCTTCATTCTAGAGAGGGGAGTCAGATACAATTACTTTTAAGTTTTTTGATTTAAAACCCTTAAGGTTGTCTTATTTACTGTGATCTCTCCAGCACCTGTATCCTTCAGGGGACACTTAGTGTGCCAGCTGAGTAAGTGAATGGCATCGGGCACAGTGCCAATGTAGGCTTGACAGTCTCCCCACCTATGCAGAGAAACCCTGTCTCGGAAAACCAGTATGTCGTGGACAGGCAATGCTTGTGACCTCTGCTGTTTTACCTAATCTTTTTCTAGCCAGGGTTTCTCTGTGCAGCTTTGGAGCCTATACTGGCCCTCGCTCTATAACCCAGGCTGGCCTCGAACTCACAGAGATCTGCTTGCCTCTGCCTCCCGGGTGCTGGGATTAAAGGCATTCGCCACCAACGCCCGGCCTTTGTTGTTTATTTTTAAAGATTTATTATTTATTTATTTGTTTATTGTGTTCCGCCTCCATGTATGCCTGTAGGCCAGGAGAGGGCACCAGATCTCATTATGGATGGTTGTGAGCCACCATGTGGGTGCTGGGAATTGAACTCAGGACCTCTGGAAGAGCAGTCAGTGCTCTTAACCTCTGAGGTACCTCTCCAGCTCTCTTTCTTTCTTTCTCAAGACAGAGTGTCTTTACGTAGCTTGGATGTCCTGGAATTTGCTCTATAGACTACGATGGCCTCAAACTCAGTGATCCGCCTGCCTCTGTCTCCTGAGTCCTGGGATTAAAGGTGTGAGTCACCACTATCAGGCTTCATCATTTTAAATAAATATGGTTGTTTAGAATGAAACGCTTGTAGCTACAGCATCCTCATTGGGTCACACATAGGCAGAGACAGTAAAACTAACTCCAACGGAAACAAAGTATTGGACCATTGCCTGCCAATCAAAGGATCAGCCCCAAAGTCTGTTTCCTTGAGCATGGGGATTCATGCTTGTCGGGGAGTGTTAGACATGATGGCAGGAATGAAATTTTCTCTTGCTAGTGTGATTTTTAGAAATTCTGAAGCAGAATCCCAAAGAGAGCATCTCTCTCGCAGTGTGATTCGGTGCAGCCTCAAGCTGGGTCTGGCTTCCTTTTAAGATTATTCCAGTAACTACATGAAACCATCTCATTTGTGACCAGAGGCACCACAGCAGCTAGCTGTTACATTCTCGGGTGTCTCTGAAGGGGAGCAGGGCATGGAGGAGAAGCCAACCAGCATAGCCAGGAAAACCAAGCAAGCCACTCTCTCCAGTTCTGTTCGCCCCCTCCAGTAAGCACAGCCCCTCTCCCATCCCCTCCACCTACCAGGGTGCTCTCACATAACACCCACTGTTCTCTGGCTTTTCCTGCCAGCTCTGCCCACTTTCCCATGTGCTCACCCTTCAGCGGCTCCGTACAAGATTCTTCCTCTCTCTCTCCATACAACACTCTCTGGAAACTCCATATTCTCTCCTATATACCCTTCTCACCTGTCCATCTAGCCACCCAGCCAACCTTCCTTCCGTCTGCCCACACACCTCATCCTTAGTGTCTCGATCCCTAATTTTTCTGTTCTTTCTAGAGCAAAACTCAGGGTCATGACCTCAATTATTTCTTTAAAAAGTACAGTTTATTACTGCATGTGCATGTGAATGCGTGTACGTGAATGTATGTATAGATGATGTGCCTATGAGGGTGTGTGTACCATGGCATACATGTGGAGGTCATAGGACAATTCTGTGGAGTCGGCTCTTGCTTCTGTCCCTGCATGGGCTCCAGGGATCAAATTATGAGGGTTTGGAGTGCCTTTACCCATTGAGTCATCTCACTGGTCCCTCTCTTCCCAAGCTTCAGTCCTTCCCGAATTGCCCTCTTGTGTTTCAGGGGTGAAAATCATTTTATCATTTTATTCCCACTGTCCCTTCCCCTGGTTCACTCTCCCCACATGAGTCTTATTCTTCCATAACTTTTTTTTTTTTTTTGGTTTTTCAAGACAGGGGTTCTCTGTATTGTTTTGGAGCCTGTCCTGGAACTTGCTCTGTAGACCAGGCTGGTCTTGAACTCACAGAGATCTGCCTGCCTCTGCCTCCCAAGTGCTGGGATTAAAGGCGTGCGCCACCAACGCCCAGCTTTCTTCCATAGCTTTACAAGGTAGAATCCTCAGCAACTAGCTGAAAGGGATGTAGAGAAGGCACACCCAAAGCTTCCCAGTGCAAGATGGGAAACTCAAGGTCCAGAGAAGGTGATGCTCTCAGGGCCCCGAGACTGAGGGCGCAGCGTGAACACAACACATGCTCTGCAGCTAGTGTTGAGAACTGTTTCCTTTCCTAGGTAAAACTTCCAGCCTGGTGCGAGCCTGTCATGCTAGCAGCTCGGGAAGCTGAGGCAGGAGGATGGCAGGTTCAGTGCTCCCCGGACTTCAGTGGGAAACCTGTCTCAAAATAAAAAATAGGGGCTGACTGGAGAGATAGCTTAGTGCAAGAGAACTTGTCTACCATGCCTGAGGTCCTGAGTTCAATACCCAGCACCTTAAAAACAAACAGATATGGGGCTGGAGAGATCGCTCAGATGTTAAGCGCACTGGTTGCTCTTCCAGAGGACCCAGGTTCAATTTCCAGCACCCACATGGCAGCTTATTATTGCCAGTAACTCCAGTTTTGGGGCTAGGGAGCAACACCTTCACACAGACATACATGCAGGCAAAACACAAATGCACATAAAGAATGAACAAATAAATAAATAAAACAACAGACAGACAGTAAAAAGGATGTTGGGGTTACAGATCAGGGTAGCATTTTTGCTAAGCACATACAACGCCTTAGGTTGGGTCTCCAATACCACAGACAAAAGGGGGCATGGAAAGAGCAGGGAGCCCAACACCCAGCCTTGCCTGGAGACCTTTCAGCCCTCACCCCTGTTACTCTCAGGGTTGGGGGGCTGGCCAGCATCTTCTGATGCAGCTTTGCTGTTTTCTCCTGACCTCCCCACCCTAAGATTTATTTAGTATGTCTGTATGTATGTATGTATGTATGTATGTATGTATGTATGTATGCATGCATGCCAGAAGAGGGCACCAGATCTCACCATAAATGGCCATCAGCCACCATGTGGTTGCTGGGAACTGAACTCAGGACCTCTGGAAGAGCAGCCAGTGCTCCCATCTGCTGAGTCATCTCTCCAGCCCCTCTCCTGGCCTTTTACCATGGGTGAACTTGCCTTTGTATAAGGTATCACTGTGTCAGTCTGTGTCTTAGTTGCTTTTCCTGTTGTGTGAGAAAATGCCGACAAAAGCTACTTAAAGCACAGAGTTCATTCGGGCTTGCATTTCTAGGATACAGTCTCATGGTGGGAAGCAGTGGCATTGGGAGCTTCAGACCGCTGTCACGTTGTGTACACAGTCATGAAGTAGAGAACAATAATACCTGTGTCACCTCAGTTTCTTCTTTTTACATAGTCCAGAATATGAGCCCAGGAAATGATGCTGCCAACAGGGGGTAGGTCTTCCTGCCCCAGTTAACAATTTCTAGCTATACTTACTGTGTGATCTTGGACAAATTGCTTACCCTCTCTGGTCTCACTTTCCTATTCTGAATGGATATGTACAATAATAGGAATGCCAGGGAAGACGCTCGTGCTGAAGGAAGAGAGAGAATTGCAGGCGGGGAGGGCAGTATGTGCAAAGGCCCTGCATTGCTAGGATTGGAAGATGTTCCAGGACTTGCTGGAGCTTGGCGTCTCTGCACATCCCCATTGTGCCTTCCCATCAGAGACTAACAGTGAGGTGACTCTAAAGTGGGGGTACAGGCATGGTTTAGGCTCTACTACAGTTTCAGTATTGCCTGTCCTCCAAAGTCCATGTTTGGAAGGGCTGTCCTGGTCCGCAGAGTGGTACCGTTGGGAGGTGGGGCTAGTGAAGGTGCAGACTGCTCTTGCAGAGGACAGTTTAGTTCCCAGCATCCATGTCAGGCAGCTCACAAGCTCCTATAACGCCTGCTCTGGGGGATCGAAGACCTCTCCTGGACCCTGGAAGGCACCTACTTGCTTACAGACACTATGACTACACACAACTTAAAAGAAAAAAATAGCCAGGTAGTGGTGGCACACACCATTAATTCCGGTGCTCAGGAGGTAGAAGCAGGTGGATCTCTGTGATTTTGAGACCAGCCTGGTCTACAGAGTGAGTTCCACGACAGACAGGGCTACACAGGGGAACCCTGTCTCAAATCCCAGCCCCCAAAAACAGAAAGAAAGAAAGAAAGAAAGAAAGAAAGAAAGAAAGAAAGAAAGAAGGAAGGAAGAAAGGAAGGAAGGGAACCAGGAAGACAGCTCAACGGAGTAAGGCATTTGCTAGGCAAGCCTGTGGCCTGAGTTTGATCCCAAGAACCCCCTGGGGAAAGAGAGACAGACCCCTGAAAATTGGGCTGTGACCTGCATACCCATGGTGTGTGTGATGCCCCCATCCCCGCAGTCTTACACATTAACAATACATAATATAAGATAGAAGTCTGGCTAAGTGGGAATTTCAGGTCCATCACGTGAGCTGTACGCAGCGCCCACAGTGCCTGGGGGAGTAGCTGTAGTTAAAGCGATCTGTTGCTCCTTTGAAACCAAAACTTAACTGGACTCTGCTTCTTTTTTAAATTGAAGTCTGGCAACCTCAGCATCAAAGGCCACCGTCTTTGTTCCTGAGTTGCCACCTCTGCTGAAGCCATTTCACTCTAGTGGGAAAGCAGGCATGGTAACCTCTCGGGCTGGTATCCCCTGGCACGGTGGCCATGGCCTTTCCTGGAGGTGGTCCCCTGAGATGAGATGGGAGTGGCCTCCTTGCCCACTGACTGCCCTCCCAAGGCCTGGGTACTCATGCTGCAGGACAGACCCTTTGTCTTCTCAAGCTAGTGTCTTCAGGGGCTTGGGGAAGCTCATGTGCCTTGGGTTGTGAGGGGATGGTGGAGGCTGTGACGTCTGTCTCTATACAGGAGCCAGAGCTCTGGGAACATGCATGGTGCTTCCTG